AGCGGGGCCAGCTCATTCCTCCCAGGGAATGAGAAAGTACAGGCAGAACTGTGACCCCTCCATCTATTCCGAGTGCGCGACGTTACCCTCCCTCTCGCCAGTCCCAGCACCCCTCCCTGCAGCCCAGCGATCGCTGGGTGCTTGTTGGAAGCGGCCTCCACCCTGCAACCATTTCAGACAAAAGGCTGCAGCCTGCACCGGGCTGCGAGAGCTCGCCGGCGTCCTGGCAGTGGGAAGGGAACAGCAGCTCCGTCCAAGGCCCAGGCACGCTGGGTGAACTGGGACCAAGCTGGGACCTGTCTGGCGCAGATGCCTGGCTCCCTGTTCCAAACGTGCTCTCTGCTACATCCAGCTGGCTCCGCCTCAGCACCGAGTGCCGAAAGCCATAAAACCTTTCATTAAACCCAAGGGTCTGGGGCAGGCAGCAGAGCTCGTTCCGAGTGCTGCTTGCCCCGTGCTTAGCCACACCTGCTGGACCCCTCCCCCTGCCGCTCTCCAGGAGGAAAAGCAGCAGAGAGCAAAACCTCTTTAACCAGGGAGCACAGACAACGCTGTGCCGGGAGCCAAGCACGTGCAGGAGACGAAGCCGGGACAGCAAGCCCAGTGCCTCGCCAGCCACGGAGCGCGTCAGGCTTTCACGGGGCTGGACGGTGGACGGAGACCGGGTTGTGCTCAGCCTGACACAGCCTTTTCTAGGCTTTCTGGCTTCTCTGCTGCAGCGTGACAAGCTCCGAAGCAAACCAGCCCAGCCCCGCAGGAGGGTGAGGGGATGCCCTGTGCATCCGAACCGGGGTCCCCGGCGCCTGGCGGCGGCCTCACCTCTGTGTAAATGGAGGGGGTGAGGTAGCAGAGCAGCCGCACGTCGTCCTCCTGGCAGGCCTTCATGTCCATCATCAGACACGTGTGCAGGTCCCCCAGCTGCGTGGCCTGGGCGAAGGACTCGTACAGGTTCATCTTCCCGGCTGCAGCTTTGCTGGAAGGAGACGTGCCCGGGTGAGGGAGGAGCCCCCCGGACCGC